CCCTGTTCTAGTGGCTAAGTATTTTCAAGTTTGTCCAGCGCTTGTGCCCTCACCTTTGGCAGGTGTGGTTTACGAAATAAAAAAGCCAAACCCAAACACGCGCTGTTAACACTTGCACATATCATGGGCATCACTCAGCCCCAGGGCTGTGTGGGTTTCTGCGGCCCAAAGCCTGTGCAGGTCACAGCCCTGCAATGGGGAAGAGACATTCGCTTTGTTTCCCAGCATCAGAGGGTTTCTCAATCTGGCAACCCCTGCTGTCTTGAGGTTGCTCAGTTAATGCTGTTTTCATGCTAAAAACACCAGACATAATAGCAGCAGCCAAGGTATTAACAATAAAAACAGCAGCAAAGACAATAGCAACACAAGTGTAGCTCATGAGCTTAGCTGTGCTTAATGGTACAGGATCTGCAGAGCTGGACCCAGAGCAGAAACCACAGCCAGCTTTCCCTCCTCCCCTGCCCGCGATCGTGGCGAATGACCCTGATCCAAACCAGCCTTTTTCTCTGGGGTGAAGTGAAATGCTGCTCCAGTACGATGTGGCAAACACGGCTCTGGAAGTGCGATTTATTATGCAAACATGTTTGTGCGGGTTGTTGTGCCACAGGTGAGACATGGCCCTTGCACAGACTGGGTCGATAGCATCGCACGCCAGTCACCCTGATGATCCAGCTTGACCGCCATGTGGCATGGTGCCCCCTCATGGGTTTTCCAGACAGAAGGAGATGAGTCTCTTACCGCCTGGACTGAAACATCTAGCTCTCTGTGCTGAGAAGAGACTTCCTTCTTTGAAGATACTTCCTTTAAACGCTGGGACTGACCCTCCCAGACATGAGGACCTTGCTTAAGGAATGTGGGCACTCACCGAGCAGGACTTATGTTCTTAAATGAAAGGTGTAACATCTTTGAAGTGACCTGAGCATACTGCATGCAACATCCTCTTTTCTACAACACCTAGAAAATATCTTTGCCAGGTGAATTTTATCTAACTACATCCATTTGCCTTAAATTAAGTGTCTAGTGCTGCTTGAGATACCCAACCAGTACCTGAGACATGAGCATGGGTCCACAGGAACCTGGGAGGACATCCTAGGACATTTAAATTGACACTGGATTCCTACATTTGAACTAGATGGCTGAAGAGCAAGGCCTGACTCCCCTCCTGCAGATTCCATTCCCTCTCCTAAAGCTGCATGGACACATACCCTTCCCAAGTAAAAACTTACCACGTCTACCAAGGGCAGACTCTACATCCTCAAAGCAAGACCTATGGACCTCAATAGAGCACAGTTCAGAAAATCAAGTTGGTGTAAACTTCCAGTGCAGAATCAGGCGGAGACACTAGCATGACTCTTAAAATAAAAGATATGTTATTAGTAGTCCATCTGAGATAATAATTCCCAGTCCCTAATGATTCTGTATTACTCCTAGCTTTGGACTTGACTTTTGATGCAGTCAATAACTCATAGAGCGGTGTGGATCTGCTTCCAGATGCTTGTTCTAGTTGGTGGCACCTGCAAATAGACACTGGATATCTGCAGGCAAAACCTCAGTGTGGCCTGCAAGTTTTGGGGCACAAGCACAAACCTGATTCTTAGGTGCATCTGACTAGATGTCACACTGCTCTCCTCTTTCTTCATAGAGAGTTTGACATAGTTTGGAAAATCTGGGCTTATTTCTGTAGAGAAAGAATGATAAATAAGTTACTGCTATTGAGTGGTAAGGGATGAGCATGGTTACTTTTACTGCATTTGGGAAAATGCAAATACAACATTTCCAGTGAATAGTGATAGTACTGTGTCATGTAGAAATGTGGGAGTTTGCATTGTCATCCCGTGTGATTTGTACATGCTTAAGGGTGAATTAAATCCTTGTGAACCTATCTGGCGTTACAGACATTGAGGTTTGATTTGGCTTACTGTTGTGCCAGTTTTGTATGGAGGCAACTCCACTGAGACCTGTGGAGTCATTAAATGCTGCCAGAAGAAAGAGGAAACTCAGATGCTGCCACCCTACTTAGTATGCCAAGAAACAACATGCTTTTCCCGAACACTTCATCAGTTGAGCAACAGCAGCAGCACTAATGAAGACTTCCATGATGTGCTTTGCCCATCGCCTTACCCATGAGTCCAGGGGGACCATCATCAAGAGGAAGAGGTCAGCACTTTATGAGGAACCACTCCAGTTTTGGATTACAGGAATTTCAGCATCTGCAGCTGACCACTTGAATATCATCAGAGTGCAAAGGCTTTGAAGGGCCCTTTAAAAGGCTGTACCATTTGGTGCCCAGATTTCTCTTCCCTCTTAAATGACCATCTATGACTACAACCACTTTAATGTTGGAGCTCATGTAGCACCCTGTCTGCTGATAGGCTCCATTTCCGCTATTGTAATTGCATTGTGCCCCATCATAATCATTATCAACCCTCTTGAAGGGTTACCTTTCTGCCACTTACTGGAATTCCTGCTTTGGAATAAGTTTGGAATAAGCCATCAGTTACCTGACCTTACTCCTCATTTATATGAGCAAGGGAAAAATCAAGGGCAAATGCTCTTAAGTAGGCCTTTCTAAATATACAGAAATCAGGGCCATTAGAGGCTTGAGCCAAGAGGATGGCTGCATCATATGAGATAAGCTCAGTGTCTAGATTTTTGCAGGGTGCAAACTCTCTAGCCACCAGAAACAGCCTTTCAACAACTGTCCAGTTGAGTATCCGCTATCCACGCTCATCCGTGAAGGAAGGGAGGAGCGGGCTAGGGTGGCATGGGAATGTGATCCGTATCGTGCTGCTGCAGTGCTTGCATACCTACCAATTTTACTCATGAGCCTACGTCGCGTCTCCCCACTCGGCCATGGGCTCCTTGGCGGCAGAGTGGGCGTCGCGATGCAAGCGGTGCTGCCCAAGTGCACAGAGCGAAACACGTGTGTGGAGCTCGTGACTCATGCTGCTCCTGGGAGCGACTTGGCAGCTGCACAGCCTGATGCCCATGCCAGCCCCGGTGAACGTAGCCTGGTCGCTGTTTCTTCCCTCCACACGGGAATCCAGCCACAGGTGCTGGGAGAAAGGATTGGGTTTCTTTCTTTTTTTTCAATTCTTTATTTTTTATTTTTTTTTTCTGATAGTTACCCACCCAATTTTACAACATTGCAAAATGAAGGCTTTAACGGTTGTTTATTTTGTGTCCTGCTGAGGGAGGGATGGAGAGAGCTGGGTGAGATAAAACAATGGAAATTAGAGTAGAATGGAGAAGTGCAAGAAAACAAGAAGGTTGAGGACGTGAGCAGTGGGACCAGTCTGGGAACAGAAAAGTCCTTTTATCCACCTAGATGCTGTCTTACAGTTGTGCTATGTATGTTTCAAATAGCTACCCAATACCTATCAAAAGCACAAGCTGGTACGGAGTTGATAACAGAGCCCATTGGGCTATGGTGAGCTACTCTTTGGCCTAAGACATAGACTGGATGACCTTACTGTTAGATAAAATCTTTTAAATATATATAGCTACATGTGTAAATTGAATGGCCTTGAAAAAATCAACCCCTACAGAAAACTATCCTGGGGTTAAATAATGACAGTGGAAAATGTCAGGTATGTTACTGAGCCTAGCAAACTTTACGACCATGCTGAGCTAATCCTGGCCATGACAATTCCCAAGGTTTCACTGCTCCCTATTCAGTGTGTGGTCCTTCTTGGTCAGGGCAGCTCTGTCCCCAGTCTCAGCCCTGCCAGGCCCCCGTCTCCCTCGTCTGCTCTCTCCCCGTTGCGCTCTTTTTCATTATATGGGAGTAATATGGGGCAGTGGTTGGAGTTCAGCTGAGAGCAAAATCAGAGGCTTTAATGTTTGACAGCACAGCCTAAGAGAGTCCAGTGGGGTCTGAATCTCAGAGGGTGATGACTACCTTGTCTTTATGAATTATGTGCACGAGGGGCTTCTGAGGATCCCACGAGATGCCGATCTCCTTAACCAACAAATCCCCTTTTAAAACACAGCACTCCTATTTTCATGTTTCCATAACACCTCATTTGCAGGCATGCGATTAAGCCTAATTAATGCCTGTAATCAATGAATGCTTAATCACTGCTGATGAAAAATGCTGGATAAATGCAGAGCACTGCTTGATTGAATGCCATCTGATGGGCTAATGGATCACTCTTATTGCTCTTTAGATTCTGATTAAGCTGGGAAAATATCTGGGCTGGTGTAAAACAATCCTGCATTGATCTCTCCAGCCAAGTGGGGTCTTTCCAGTAATTAGAAGAGTGGTGACAGGAGCAGACTCGGCTGGATGAAGGACCAGGGGGACTGGAAAGCAGTCTTTTTTTTTTTTTTTTTTTTTTTTGAAAGCAATGCAGCAAATAGCAAGGAGAAGAATGGTCAGATCTTTTGACTTTTAGCTGTAAAAAAAAATAATTTAGCATTCCCTGATAAGCCCCCTGATTTAAACAGAGAGGCAATTTCTGCTCCCTGGGAGTTCCATTTGAGCAAGTCTGGCCCCAAAACTTCACAGGCTCAAATCTCTGGAACCAAATTCCAGGAAACATTCATATGTGGATGATGCATCTGCAACAGATATAAAGGGGAGAGGGGAAGCATTTGGCAATTAGCAACTGGAATCATTTATAACTCCAGCTGGTGCTTCTCTTTTTTCAGGTGAAATGTCTCAAGGGGAGGAGGAGAACCTGTCAGTGTCATGTTTTGCACTATGGCTTGCAGGGACTCCACGGCTTTCCTCCATGAACTCTTCCAAGCGAGGTCACTTTCCCCAGCATGGAGACCTGGCACCAGATATCACATCACTCTGCTACACCCCGCACCAAGGGGACTGAAGAACATCCTCATTCTATAATACCAGGTCCAAACTAGTGCAAAAACCAGCAAAATTGAAACCACTCTTTCACCAGGAATGAGGACCAAGCGGGAACACACAGGTCCCAGTATCTCTTCCAGAGACAGGGCCTGCCCGATGCTGCATCCCCGAAGGCAAAGGAGGAAGCACTGGAACAGCAGGCACCCTGCAGGCTCACTTCCACTGCGATGACATTGCTGTCACCCATAGAGTTCAGTGGTGAATCATTTCTGCAAAAGAGAAGGGGATTTTACAAAAGAGGAGTCAACTATGGAGAATTCATTTTTTATAAATGCAGACGAGTTCTGTGGCACTTTCACAGGAGACCAAATCATCCTGCCGTTAGTCACAGAGCCAAGTAACGGCATCGATTCATGAACGCCTCTAAGTGCAAGTACATTTTCCATGATCTAGCCTCTTGTCTCTTTAACTTCATGCTCTGTTCAGACGCTCGGGCCTGTGCTCCAACACAAATACATTGCCTGAATTTCCCTCCCCCTGCACTATTCCACTTTGAGCTGTGGAAGATTATACACTATAGATAAAAAAGTGCTTGTTTCTTTGACAAATGCAAGGCTTAAAGACCACCCTCTGTTCTTGAGCAAAATTAGCTTATCTTTGCCCCCAAAAATGTTGTTACTAAATATGAGCCATCATTTGTGTGTGGCCTGAATGAGACGCTCAATTCATCTTATTAGAGGTTATCCTTTGAGGAGCTTTAAAAGGAAATGCATTGTTCTTAATTATTCTTATCTCAACAGCTGTGTAATTCCTGGTTTTGATTTAAGAAAGGAATATCCAAAGAAAGATTATACTGAAAGCTGGAGATGGGTCTGAACCCAGATTGCAGAGTTGAACTGCAGCTCTTAGTCCATGTTAAATAGCCATGATCTTTTCTTTGGGGAAGTTATGGGTCCTTTTATTTCCTCCCAAAGTAATAACACCAATCAGGATAGAAGTAAATATTATCAAAAGGGTAGTCTTTGCCCTTCTTTCTGTATTTAGACTCATCCTTTGTGCTGTGTCAGAGGATGGTGAACAAAACTTGGTTGGGAAATGCACCCTTCCTCTCTCCCTACTGTACCTCCTCCCCCATAGTTTATACAAATTTTCATTAGAAAGGCCCAAGCCCTATAGTCCTTTTCCAGACAGTAAAAATTCTGAAAATTTTCAAAGCAAATTGAAAATTGGGTGAAATTTACTACCAGGCTAAAAAAGCCACTTTCTGTTGGTTAAATGTTTGCACAAAAAGTGACATTTTCTGTGATGCTGTATGGTTGTCACAAGCCGCTATGCACTTTGAAGTGGAGGAGCACATAATGGATCAAATTCTCCACAGAGGTCAATGCCAGAGTTTCAAGTGCTTGGCATCTCACATTAGGTCCAGCTTCTCTGAAGTGGTCAGCATCCAGCAGCTTCTATTGTGACAATAAGTGGCAAGATGTTTTGCAAAAGGGCTTTGCTACCAAGCTGCTGTTTTTTTTTCTCAAAAATTCTGGTCCAGGATGGTACTGAGGGCAGTTTCAGCTAGTTTGATCGAACCAGCTGTTGAATCGCAGCAATTCCTTGAACTTCTTATTATAACATGTTTCCACCATGAAACGCTGGCCTCTCTCCCAACATCACATTTCCCACTGCTACCATTTGATCGACCCAGAACTATGGATGGATCCTCATTTTCTGCTACTCTGCTCAGGCTCAGTCCTAGCCCCACATATAAGAGATTCCTCCTACAGTTCATTGCTGAATCCAATAATATCGGAAGGACAACAAGTTTCTGTTTCAGTCCCTTCCTAAATGACATGCCGGAAGATGAGCATTGAATCAAGTCGGACTTTGCTAAAAATATGAACTTATAGCCACACTTCATATAGTGCTGCAAATGGATTATGTGTGTGTCGTGAAAATGACCTGGGAGAACAGGGACCACCCTGAGCCTTGGAAGGTGTCTGTGGACACCTCACATCAGTAGGGTAATGGAAAGGTCTCAGTATCACCTAGGTTTTTTTGGGATTTGTCATATCTGAAAATCAGACTGATTTTGTGCTACATTATGGAGCTTGATCGTGTTGCACATCACTAGGGCATCTTGGCTTGTTATCTTGAAAGATGCTGGCATCTTTCTTACGTGGCCATTTTTAGAGAGCTAATCTTGAACTGAACATGCTCTGAGGCATTTCTGGAGGTGTCCCCATACATATATTGTCAGATCAATGTTCAAACACTGCTAGTATGGGGAAGCACAGAATATTGTTAATGTTTCTTACATACTTTTGAGGAATATTCTCCTCTTTGGATTAATTATAGAAATGTTAAGCAACTATAAAACATCACATCTATAAATATCTAAAGACAAAGGATTTCCTTGCTGCAATCATTCCTCAATGTACTAGCCGCATAGTGTTAAAGGACAGGATAATGAAAGGACTAGTGGTTGGGACTCTTTTTATTAGCATTCATATATTTGCAGTAAGACTCTGGCTGCTGCTATGTTCAGCCAGTGATGACTATTTTGTGAAAACAGTTCATATGAATGTGCTTGTGAAGTCTGCCTTCTGTCCCAAGCATAGCAAAACAAAACACCTAAACAATATTTCTCTGAAAGAAATTCTACTATTTAAGGCAGCAGGAGGTCAGATTACTGAGTTTCATCTGGGAAAGATGCTTTGATACTATGATTTGGTGGTTTTGACTCTTCCCTCTTGAATGGCACCATTTCCTTTTCTAAGCCCCAAGCAGTGATGCTCTTGCTTTTATTTCTTGTTAAAAAAATGGCTACAAGGAGTATTCAAGATTTATGACTGCAGCACAGCCTCACTCAACAGCAACAGCAGCTACCACCTCATACAAAATGTTATTTTTCTCCTGTAGCCTCATTCTGCAGGAATGAGTCCAGCAGCAAAGATAAGGGCCTTAAGATGTATTACAGTCAGATTTTGAAAAAATATCAGGGGTGTATGGCAGTAGGTCATCTCTTCCAAAACCAGGCTCTGATTCCTATCCAGACTACCAAACGGGTATTAACTGGAGAGGAATAATTTTCAAATACTTATTTTCATTAAAAAAAATAAAATAAAGTCCTGGAGCTGAAGAGAACCTGACCGTTAATAGAAACTTTAATCCACAATCCATGAAGAAATAGCCATTTGCCAGCACAACAGAAATCAGACAAGACAAAAAAAATAGCTTGACTCATCCAGACAGTAATTCAAAGCAGCAAAATATACCCAATCCTACCCAAAAGCCCATCATGCATTTTCCACGTGGAAAGTAGACGGCTCCCACAGAGAATATCTTGTTATCCTAAGCGCTTCTTAAGTTGCACTAGAAAAATCTCTCCTCCACCAAGTCACGCAGTATTAGTGGACACATTGCTACTTATCACGCACATACGTCATTTTGTGCAGTTTTGTACATTTATGCAGTTGCTAGGGATACAATTTAGTGAGGTCTTGACCTGAAGAGCAGTTGAGCAACTGCGGTACATGCACTGATCTCAGTGAAGGGCTGGGGATGCCCAGGAGYTCGCACGAAAGAGCCTCTGCTGTACACAGCAATCCCACACCAAGCAAATCATACAGCTGATTTTTGCTCGCGGCCTGAGCAGAAACTCATGTAGGTCAGGCTCACTCCCATAGCATAGGGGATGTCTGGTTCAGATTTCCCTCAGTGCAGTGGTTGCAGAAGATGCAACCCAGTGCCAGTATCTCTGGTTGTGTTTTATAACCATGGGTGACCTTAAAAGTCTGAGTGTAAACCTGTTTATTGTCCATCTTTCGGCATCCAAATGAGAYGAGAGTGTTTCACCCGCTCTTCGTAGGCCTGATGTTTCTAGCAGCCAGCAGAGATTTTCTTTTAATGAGAATGGAAGGAGTGTGAATTTCTGAAGCAAGAGGATCTCTCACATCATAAACACAAAATTGCAAATGTAATTTTACCAGAGGATCCAGCTCCCTTTTTGTTGAAATTAGAGATGAGTGAGATAGGTTGGATAAAATAAAATCTGATTCAGATTTCCTTTGAAACCTTGAGACAGTCTTAGCTGAAAATTAGATAAAATATATAGGTTAAGAGAACTAGGACTCATCTGAAAACATCAAAGAAACAGAAACACCATAGGCCACATTTAGAAAAACTGGCTGCCTAAACAGTGAAAGGAAAAACGTGTAAGCACCACCTCATGTACCAAATATGCACTGATGTGTGCGAAAAAGGATACTCACATACTCCACTACCCATTTCTTCTCAGGCAGTTGCCTATTTGCTTACACAAGCTTGGTCTTCTAAAGGGAGAAAGTAATCAAATCCATTTGTAAAAAAGTTTTTGGTATCTAATTTTGAAAGTATATCTCCAAACAATACAGTGTGTCAGGAGTGCTGTACTCTACCAACAGGCAAAGCTGTTGCCAGTATTAATATTCAAGCTGGTTCAAATTTGCATACGAAGCTTGATTTTAAATACACCCATTTCTGAGTGCCTAAATGGAAACATTGACTTTCATAGGGCAGGTTTTCAGGGCTCTCTTCTTTCAAAAAAGAACTGTTCAGGATATCCCTTGCTAGACATCTCTTAAAGTCAGTGCTGATGTGAGAAGGTAAAGCATTCTACTTAGTCAAGTACTTTCTCTATGCCTTTTGTGAAGGGAGCTGTAACCTTTCCTAAAATGTTTCTTGGTAGAGGGACTATCACAGTGAAATCTCCTGATAGTGCACATAGGAACAACTAAAATCTCTGAAAAAGAGCTTAATCAGGAAGCATCAGCCCCTGGACTACAGTGAGCTCCCCGCACAGCCCTGCCAACACAGGGCACCCAGGCCACATCCTGAAATAACCTTTCCTTGGGAATAGACTTTTGTCTTTTTCCTAGGATTTAACTTCTTGCAAAGGCTTTTCTGCAACCCATTTTGCCAAAGCACAGGGTGTCTGAACACTGGGCCACTATTTCCCCCTGTGCTGTCTGTGATGCTGAGCAGTAGCAGTATTCCCAGTTCACAGTCAGAGGCTCCAGCGGGTGGTCCAGCTGCATCTAGATGCATGAAATGTTCTCATATGACACAACTGACATCTCCAGGCCTCCAAAAATAGGGTGTGGGGGACTGAAAACTTGCACATCCCAAGCCCTGACAAGCGGGAGCAGAAGAATGTCCCCCCCATCAGTCCCCTCTTGATACCCACAGTACTGGAAGAATCATTGCTCTCTGGAGGAGGTACCTGGAAGCATTGGCTACT